TTCGTTAATCATTTGAGAAACATCCACATCTATCTCAAGACCCATATGCGTAATGCTTTCTCCATCAATATCCGTAAATTTTTCATACACCGTATGTTCAAGCACTTCAGATTCTATAACGATTTCTTTTTTCTTCTTGCAAATGTTGTTTAAAGTTTGATCTTCACGCTTCCTTTTTCTGCTTTCATTTATGAGGGTAAATACTCAAAACATGTTTTTGATTATTTTGAAATGCGAAGTGGGTTTCATAATTCGACAGAACGAACAACGATGCGTAAAATGCTTATTTTTTCCATTTTAGCAAATTATGGAAAAATCAAAGGAATAAAAGCTTAGATATTATTTTTATTATTGTACGCATTACTAATCAAATATCTTCATTATCGTTATTGTCATCATATTTCATATCGGTAAATAAATTTAAGCTCCGTATTACGTACATGATTTTGGTGGTGATACTAGGTGGGTCCTCAAAAACTAGTATTTAAATCGACCTAAATTCATGATTAAAAATGTCGGGAACGAAATTTTACATATAATGAACAATAGTCTATAGCTATAGCTTCTACCCTAAATTTGTGTTTTTACGCACTTTGTTTATTTACAAAATTAAATTTTCTTTTTTGTGTTGTGATTTTCACGTTACACCTAATCCTTTTATCTAATTGGCTAAATTCACACACCGGAAAATTATTTGTAGGTGAGCTACAATGGTTGAATTCATGTGTGCTTTGTTGTCATTTGACTTTACAAACGCACAAACGCGTCCATAACAATATGCCAACAGGCGGATTACCTGAAGAAACTCTAAAGAAAGTGCAATATCGGGGTAAGTATTTATTGTTCTTCACTATATTAAATTACAATAAATACTCCAACCTGTAACTATATATCAGAGTATTGGGAGGAATCCCATTCCAAGTGGGGAAATACAGATACGTGGGATCGCTATTTCATCAAAAAGAAACCAAATGCAACAAAGCACGATTCACATAATGTTCTAGGCGCTGAATTAAAAGTTTTGATTCAGAACTTAAAACCAGAAACAAGAGCAAGCAGAAAGGCATTAGCGATGCAACGCGATTTGAGGGTCAGTATTTTTTACTAACAGCAAATGTGCTACGCCTTGTACTGCTGTATGGGGAAGAAGAGCGCTCAGTCTATTACACCATGACATGCATACTTTGCTTTATAGTATTGTGTGCTATGCCCTAAGCTGCTAGTTTAGAGAAGAATAGTGTCTGGTCTTTACATCACTGCAGCGTGCATATTTTGCTTTTTCATGGGAGCTGTACCCCGCGACTGCTGGTCGAGTTGAGGTCAATTTTGGGAGGTCAATTTTGAGTAAAGGTGGGAAGCAAGTCACAATTTAGTATATACTCATTGTGACTTGTGTTGTTCCCCGCTGACTTAGCAAATTTTTTTGCTAATCTTTTTTTATCATTTATTTCGTTTACTGGTATTAATATTATAGAAAAATGGGAAACACCTTGATTACGATACGAAACAATCACACAACATCGAAAACGAGGTGTCTAATTCACAAACACACCCAACCGTTGAGGAACTAACATTTGATTCACATATTGCCACATTACGCCTAGAATATAGAAGAGTTCTTGAAGAAATGAGGAATCATTACGTAGAACAAGAGTCACAACGAGGTAGACACTTATCTAATATGCTTAAGTAGACTATTCTCTGTTTAATGGATTCGTCAGTTTACTAAGACCAGCTATTAATATGTCATTATTGGAACCTATCCTTATGGAGAGCCGGAATAAATCAATTCACCATGTAGTTACGATTTTACACAATTTGATTAATAAAGAAATTGTTGATGATATAAGCCCTGGCTTTAAAAGATGGCTAGAAGGATTATGGGGAGTTCGTATAAAGGAACACTATATAATTGATACAATACAGTATTAACTGCTATCACTTCAGTTATTTTTTACTCATCTACACCCTGCCGAGGTCCGGGGAGTAAACCATCAGAAAACCATCAATAATTATTTAAGGACTTTCTGTGTCTTGAATATTAATATTGGATACCTTCAAATTTTTATTTAAGATAATCAAAAATCTATCAAGATTCTCGAGTTTTTTAAATAACACGTTTTTAGAAATATCTCTAATACTATTACATTACTTCATTCAGATAACTAATCATTCCCCAAAAACATTGTTGTTCATATTCTGTTGTGGCATTCAAATTTGTTCAAACTCAAAGCCTATATACTTAGATACTGAGTCTCTGATGAGTGTATTTCGAATATGCAAAAAAAAGCTTTTGCCCAATATGTTAAATTTATAGTTAGTGTTTTATTAAATGTAATTAAACTATTACTAGTAAATTAATAATTAAATAACTTCGCCAGATAATAAGTAAAAGTATTTGAATTGTAGTATTTTATGTTTATCATAACGTTTATATTTGATTTTTTTTTTTAACTACACTCTTAACTAATTTACGCGCTTAATACTAATAAATAATAATTATTTTGGTATATAATTTGAATATTCATTATCTATAAAATCTAACATTTAATTTGTATTGACGAAACCAATTTCATAAACTATGATCAAGGCCACTCATTAATAAAGAATATTATATTTTAGAAGAAAATCAAGAAATTTGGAGAATAACCAGCAAAAAAAATTTAAATAATTGCTAGAAGTGATATCATTATGTATTATCCAGGTTTTACAATGATTTAAAAGAATTTCAATTTGTTGTTATATATATACAGTAAATAACGATAAATCATTTTAGCATTTATTACAAATATGGATCTTTTTGATACGTATATTCTATTAATTACAGTATTTATTGAACAAACCAATCTTTAAATTAAATCGTCCAATGATTTACTAATGTCATTCAATTTCAAAAACAGATCACATCCATAAGTATGAAGAGATACAAGATTCAATGAACCACCAAAAAACGTAGAATAAATACGAGCTAAGGGAAGTCTACAAAGATATTTGAATTAAAAAAATTAGGATAAACGTAAATAATAAGTTTTTTCAGACAATATTAATAAGTTCAAATACTAACCCATAACCTAATCCGGCAATTGGACCACCCAACCCAGCCTGCATGGCACGTCTAGAGACGTTTGATAAAATATTATCAACTTCAGCAGTATTTGAATCCTCATCATGAGGTACGGTTGTAAAAGAGTAATCGAATATAGATGGCAAATGATCTGGAGCCACACCACCTCCTTGATCACGAATTCTAATTCCAACATTATTTTCACCTTTTGATATTGTAGCTACAATTGGAGGATGAAAATTCCGATCAATTTTTGAACTATACTCAACAGTGGCGCGATAAGAATTCTTTAGTACTTCAGAAATTATGTATTCTAAATGTACTGGAACATAAGCGAATCTCGTATCCGTTTGGCCATCAATAATTATATCTGGAGAGGAACCATAATGACCTTCACAAAGTTCTCGAACCCAGTTTGCACATGATTGAATTAATTTTGCAGGATTAGTTCGAGTATCTATGATCCCAATAACATTCGGATTTGCGTTGTGTAAAGCAATGTGTTGCTCTGCGATAAGACGTATTCCGATACGAGCACTGATCATGTCATCAAGAAAATCTTTTATATCTTGTGCAGACATATATCTTTTACATTCTTGAAATCCTGAAATAAAAATATTCAACGTAAGTAACAGACAACAAAAGTATAATATATATATATATATATATATATATAAAATATATATAGATTTGACAAAACCTTTAGCCAATGTAGGAATGTTCTCAGAATGACTTGCTACTATTTGTGCCAACATTTCAGCAAATTTGTCATCAGTGCTTTCATCGGTAATTTCAGGAAAATTACAAATCAATTCAAATGAATCAAAGTATAATTGATAAATTTTTTTGATATATGGATTAGTTCCTACTATGAATGGAAGTTTTTGTAAAGCTTTGACACGATGAGCAAGACGAACAGGGAGTTCCGATTTAGTATATCGCGCTGAGTCAAGGAGAATAGAAGTACTAAGTGGAGGTTGACCGAATTGGATTAATTGCTTAAGAGTGACCGGTCTAATAGATTGTTCAGCATACTAGAGAACTTTGTTAATTTATTGTGAAAAAAAAGAACATGCCAATAATCAATCAAAAATGCTAAAAACATACCTTGGTAACTTTATCATCGTAAAATGATACCACTGATGTGGTATATCTTGTTGTGGTATATCTTCGTGTGATATGTCTCTGAAAAAGAGGAAACGTAGCTTTTAGGCGACCATTATTCAAATGTTCTGGGAAGATACCAAACCGAAAGGTTCTAAAAACAATTATCCCGATTTGAGAATCTAAAGCTATGTTTGATTATAAAAATTTATTCATTAAGGACAGTTTGAAGTTAGGATAAAAGTAAAGGTCAAATTACCTCCCCCGCATTTTTTTTTTGTTAGTGCCTTCAAAAATAGATTTGAACATTCATTTCGTTTTCGTAAATACAGAAATACAGAAATACATGAAATTATAATTGGCTAATATTTAGCACGTGAAAATTAACCGATCGAATCGCTGGCCAATCAAATCATGGAATTTGCTTGGTTTAAGGTTATCCTGTATGATTTAGTAGATGTTTAAGTCTACTCTTCCTGAAACATAATGGGTCAGCCAGTAAGAGCTTTAAAAAAATCTTTACGCAAAGAGATGAGTAACCTTCTTAACCAGATTCCTCCAGAGAAAATTGAGGAAGAAAGTATGTTTATAGGCTTTTTAACGAGACTAATCTAGCTTTTAAGAATAGCTGTTCAAACTTTCTTTACACAGGTGCTATTGTAGCAGAAAAAGTAATGTCTTCACAACAATATCAGTCAAGTACATACATAAGTGTGTATCTTAGTATGCCAAAAGCCGAAATTTCAACCAAATCCATAGTCTATGATATATTTAATAAAGGTATCATACGTAATTACCACTTCATACCATATATTTTTTTCCCGCGTGATCGATCGATCAATGAATTAATTATTTGTTAGGGAAAATATGTTATGTTCCGCGTTGGGATGGAGAAAATATGGAAATGGTTAAACTTGAGTCTCTGGATGATTATTTATCACTTAAACTAAACAAATGGGGTATCCAAGAACCAGACCATGATCAAATTCGAGATACTGGTACATGAACCATTGGAGTGCACGATATACGTACGATGTAAATCAAGACTATATGTGGTATCATATAAGAAGTTAATATCTAAAATTATATATATAATATTATTTTACTTATAATTTTTCGTGAAATTTAAATAGATGCACAGCCCTAACGGTTTAATATTTTAGGAGCAAATTTTGCAAAGACCAATATTATATTTTCACAAAGTTACAAAGTTATTTTTTTCTCATTTAAATATAAAAGATTTAGTTCAGCTAACTTTTTAAATTCTTCAAGTTTAAAAGAAATGGCTTCGTAACTTTGCTTGTAAATTATAGTTATTGTATGGATATGTAGTTATTTATACACGGGTTCGTATCCGTTTGTGTAACTGGGTTATTCAATATACCAATACAATAACTATCTTATTGCACGGGTTGTCACATAAGACCCGTGCAATAAAGTTGTAATATTGGTCTGCAAAATTTAGTCCTAAAACATTAAACCGTTAGGACTGTGCGTCTGTTTAAATTTCGCGAAATATAATAAGTATTCTATATAAAATTTGATATCAATAGTTTTTGATTTACATAAAGATATCGCGCACCCTCGATGAACCATAAAATCATAAAATTATGAATTTAAAAAAGTTGTTTCTTTCAAAGTTCAATTCAATTTAATTTAATTATATCTTATAATTATTACAGCAACCCAATTGGACTTGATTATAATGCCTGGTAATAAATAAATAAATATTTTTTTTAAAGACACTAAAAAATTTTATTTAAAAAAAATAACTATTAAATTAATAGGACTGGCATTTGATCTCAATAGAAATAGACTTGGTCACGGAAAAGGGTGAGAATTTTTAGGATGATTTTTGATGGTTAAACTAGCTTATTGGAATTTTGTTTTGTAGATATTACGACAAATATGTGACGAAATGTCGACAATGGACTAAACCACCACTAACTAGTAAGTTTATATACTGTATATTACCAAATAGAAGCAACCAAAAAAAAAAAGGACAAAAATTGCGATTTTTTACGATCTAAAGCAGTGCTTGAAATTAAAATTTTAAATTATTAGCGGAATATAAACATTTAATTGCGCATGTAAATATTTTAATCAAAATCTATAGGCAAAATTTGCTAATTTAGATGTTGAATTCGCATGCGCACTTCAGATTTTAGTAAACTTTATTGTGGTTCGCAGATTCCGCAACCACCGATCTATAAAGTAATTCCAAAACGGGAAGGTTGCTTTTATTCGGTAACACAATATATTTTTGATAAATTTTTAATATTCGATTATTCTTATATATGTTGTTTATCATATTTAGTGGCTCTAGCCTTAGATAGCCAGATATTAAAAGATAAAGATATTCCAGTGACTAATAATGACCAAAAACCTGATTTTATCATATCTCCTTACCAGGATATTGGTATTTAATTATTTAATACGCGTTATCATATTAATGCGGATCATTATCACTAGCGCTAGTTTATTTTAAATTTTTTTGTGGAATGTTACATATATTTTTAAAGTGTATCTGTATAAATAAAACTGTAATGATCAACTTACAGAAATGGTGTTACTGTATGCGCATGCAGTTAAATTACGTACTGTATAAACAAAAATCAATTACTTAAAGTGGTGTTAACGTTAAAGGAAAATACTTTTTTATACAAGTGATACCAACTGCATGAAGCAATAAACATTTATAAGATTTTATTTATGCTAATTATCCGCAAATTTATAATAATTTATAATAAGGTTAGGATTAGGGTCAGAATAGAGCATAGCATAGCTTACATTAAGATATTGCACGAGTTTTTTTTTGTTCGAACGTAAAAGACGGTTTCTTGTAGAACTTCGATTAATCATATGACATATCATGTTTGTCCTTTAAAACAATTATTGATGAATTCGATTCTTGTTACTTGCTATAATTGATTACATTAATAAATTAGATAATCAATAATTAAACCAATTGTAAAAAAATTGATTTTGTATCACTTGCAAAGATAAGTATATGCGGATTAAAGTTTGGCGTTTGTTTTGATTACTACGTTACGTATCCATTTTCAATTTTCCTATCAAGGGATTTACTTAGATCGATCAATATCAAAAGATACTGCCAAAACCTACTTTTTAGAACATTAATAAAAATTTCAAGAGAGCAATTTCATACTCATGCATTACTATTCGCACTATCTTAACCTCAAACATCCAATTTTAATCAATAAATATCTGATTATATGGTACATAATTTTAGCATTCCCCTAAATGAGAAAGTAAATAAGAAAGTTATTCTTTGAACTTCAGTCTGTTACATATAACCGAATAGTGTAACGCAAAACGGAAAACAGGAAAACGCGGGTTTTATGTAAGAATATTCCTCTTTAAGCATTCGCCAATTTAGGCAAATTGAACAAGATGGTAGTACTAACCATCACCACTGTTTTAAAATGGAGAGCTACGCTCTTTTTTGAGCTTACTTTTTCTGAAACAGACTTACGCTATCATGGCACAACTAACAGGACCACCTCGGAGAAACTATTCGCGTGAGGAAATGCATAAAGCTCTTGACACAATTACTTTTGATCAAATTATGAATGAAAGTAAGTTTATAGTATTTAAAAGAGCTCAATTTAAATTTTAAAGTATTATGAGTAATAACCATCATTTATCCCATTCTTTTATACAGGTCGCATTGTAACAGACAGAGTAATCTCTTTACAGGAATATAAGGATAGCAAACACATATGCATCTACCCTAGTAAAAAAAGGTTCGAAATTTCAACAGAATCTTTAATGACTTATATATTTAGTCAAAAAGGTATAAATTAATTATCACTTTTAATATTTGTTTCTTTCCGTTATTAATTAATCCATTAATTAATTATTGTTAGAGAAAAAATGTTATGTTCCATGTTGGAGCGGAAATATCAATGAAAGGATGACAATAGTCAGACTTAATTCTTTGCAAGATTCACCACATCCACCAGATAACTTCGATGACGTGGGTTGCCTAAGACCGGATAATCAACAACGAAATAATGGTATATAATATAAACCATGAATTTACGCAATTTAAAAGCAGCTTCTTTTAAGAACCAGTTTAATCTAATTACATTCATAATTATCATAGAAACTCAATTGGATTTAATTATAATACCCGGTAATTAATGCATCGCTTTCTTTAAAGATACTATTAGAAAACTCTGACTAAAATAACAATTAAATTAACAGGAATAGCATATGATCTTGATGGAAATAGACTTGGTTATAGCAGAGAGTAAGAGTTTTAAAGGATTAATTTTTAGTAGTTTAATCTAACTTATTTTAACCTAACTTATTTTAACTTGGTTTGCATTTACATTAATACAGTCCTTACAATAAATTTTTGGAGGAATGTCGAACATGGACTAAACCTCCAAAAATTAGTAAGTATATAAATATATACTGTATTGGCAAATGCTTACATAATATTCATCATAGTTACATATATATTATTTATTATATTTAGTTGCCCTCGCCTTAGATATTCAAATATCAATAGATGAAATGCTTCCAGTAACTGGAGTTGATCAAAAACCTGACTTAATTTTATCACCAAGTAACCATTTTAAGGGTAGAAGGAATTAATATTTTTTATATTTTAGTTAATCATGAATTGTAAAAAACAAAAAAATTTATATCAGCATAAATATCACGTATAAATGATCCAGCATTACCTTAAATTAGCAATTTTATTTATTTTAAAATTTATATTTTTGAATAAATTCAATATTGTTACTCGGATAACATGACTACCTACTTTAACGTTAAACTATTAGATTTTTGCAAATATATATTGTGTTGGAACTATAGTTGCAGACATTTAGAAGGTCAAAGTTAGTGACCTTTTCACGTCATCCTTTACGTCATATAGGATTTATATATAATGTAAGACGTCGCGTTGGGGTGTGCGGTCAACTATGTAAATCAAAACTATGTGTAGTATCATATAAAAATTAATTATTGAATTTTTTTTTG